AATGCAAGCCGCAAGACCAACCCCCTCCATCTGCGGAGCTTGGAAAATTATTGAAAATTGCCCCGCCTTGCAAACGGTGCCGTCCAGGTAGTAGCCCGGGTTGCAGCTAGCACAGTGGTTCTCAGCCTGAGAATGTCAATACGAATGCCACGTCACTGGTCAATTGTCCGCAGGTGCTTGCAACCTCTCATGAGACTCTCATGAATACAAACCTGTACGGAGTGTGCATCCTTTTGCAAAGGATCTCCTGGGAGACAATTACATGGCCAGCGGCCATCGTTTTAGTGTGTTTTCAATTTACCACGGGCGAATCCTATCTTTGAGCCGCCACATCATGCCGCATCTAGCCAACCCATCCAGCACTGCTGTCTCTTGTTTCGCTTCTTCAGCCTCCGCATATAAACCAGGGGAGAAAGGTACCCCTTCTGCGAGAAGCTTCCGTTCAATAACAGGATGCCTGAACCACAATCAAGAGTCAAGATCAAACTCTACCACTTTGGGAGCATCGCCCTGAAGAAGTCTCATCAACACATGTAGCAAATCATGCCATATCTGGCTACAAAACGCTGGCACCCTCGCCGGTGAGAAGCGAACAAAAGACCGGTGTTCCACGAGGGACTCCGATTTCGTGGCCCCGGCATCGGGGGAAAAAGAGCACATGCAGACAACGGGAGGTCTTCATTAGAAAGGCCAACACATGATGAACGAAGAAACCAATAAAGATGGGAATGTCGTTGAATTATGTGTGTAAATATATGTGTTTTTTTTGAAACCATATATATATATTGAAAATATTGAAATTCAATCATGAACGGTTGCTGTCGGATGCTTCAATCATGTACAAGTTACGGCCCCGTGAATCGCTCGTCTGCCAAGGTACTGTTCGGAAGCGGTAATTCATGCAGGTCCTGCACCTCAGAAGGGGCAACTCTCTCGGAAGCGTGTGATGGATGCAAAGAACGGAAAGGGCACCAAAAAGAAGCTTGCGTCTTCAACAAACATATTTGACACGTTCCAGTTTGCTTTCCAGGAGATCAGCTTTTGGAAATGACGAAACTTTGCGGTGCAGACTTCCCCTGTTGCCTCATCCACTTTGTCCTAAAAGCCAAGTAGTGAACAGATCCAAGGCTCCCTTCGGGAAAAAAATCCAGTGAGGTGTCTTGAGATGAAACTCGATCAGTGATCGGAAAACGTCTATTCAAGATGGCTCAAGCAGAAATGGATGTTTTTCGGAGCTGCTAGGACCGCCACGTGTTCCTGCTGAGCTTTCGGGCGCGTGCGAGCTCGCTTTCTTGGGACCAAGGGTCTGTTGATGGACTGCATGGTTTTATAGAGTCAGAGTCACAATCGACAAACCACACAAAGCGCACTGTCTTTGATGAATCCCAGGTCTCACACTTGCTTCCAGAGCCCGTAGAGCAGGGTGCGATCTGGCACATGGGGACGGCTTCCCGAAAAGGCTGGGGAGGTACCAAAACAATGCCTCACTTGCCTGTGGTGGATGTGCCATACCGGCATGGAAAGAGGATGGAATGGAGGAATACCTAATCACCCAATCCCCTATACATACCAAGGCAAGTATGGTAAGTCCCATCTTTCCTAGGGTGAAGGTAGAAAATTAAGCCCTGAACCTGCTTGCGCTTGTTGACATGGTGGCCAGGCTGATCAACCGTAGTTTTGGGGTGGGGTTCAAAATGAAGAATAGAACTGGTGCGCTTTGGGGGAGTCGGCATTTGCTTTGCTGGCGCGAAACCATCTCTGGCGCCTCGCAAATGGCATTCACCTGCTTTTTGCCGTTGCTCTTGCCTGCCAAGCCAGCTGACTAAACTGCTAAGGTAGTTTACTAGTTTACTGTCCTTTCTGTCTCATAGCGTCTTGTATGCTTTCATTTGGCAATTTGGCAAGTTGTAGCAATCGTGAAAAACAGACTTAGACGATCCTTAGCACGTTACAATGCAAATGACAGGCAGTCCATCTCCTCCAATGTCTCCAAACAAAACAGAGACAGACTCCTGTGGTAAGCAACCAAATTCCATTCCACCATGGTCCACCATCCGTGTGCCAACTCCAATGAGCCGTCAGGGACGTTTGCGCCAGGGGACGTTTGCAAATGCCATTGGATGGGCTGAAGAGTGACTTCTTGCCATCACCTCCGGACCGGACCGTTCGCACGAGCGACGCCCGCCAACCATCGCGCGCATTGTTAGGCGCCAACGGAGACAACAAACCCTTTGGACGGTCCATCGACAGGTTGTTGGCTTGACTCATCTAAGCATGAAAAGCATCATCCAACTGTTACAACTGGCAGCGAGCAAATGTCCCATGTCTCATTTCAAGTCGAAATCTGTGTATATAATGATTTTTGTAAGAACCACTTCCCTTCACAGCATCCCTCATCCCTGCACCATGTAGTGATGAAGCTTTCACAGATTGCTGGTGGTCTACCAAGACTACGGACGGTTTTCATGGCCCCGTAGAGCAGGGGGCGGGCGCGTGGGTGGACTGGATCATCCGGTGGATCTCTGAAGGCGGTCTCCTCCATCCCGTTCGCCAGGGCGGGATTCCCTGTTCCCAATGCGAAGGAGAAGGGAGAAGGGGGAGAAGGGCACGGATCTGCCCAAACCAAACTCTTGATGATGATTAACGGCTTTTCACGAGGATGAACGAACTCTTAAATGACCTTCATGAACCAAAGCAGCTTCCCCAAATGATCCCAAATGCTGCTTTCATGATGTGGGCTGTGGCGAATCTTCTTCATTCAAAGAGATGTCCCTTCCGTCCTCCGTCCCTTTTTCGCACCCCGACAAACGGCCACCGTAGAAAAACCACGCCGGCCGAGGCACAGCTTTTTCGGGCTTCCCAATGCTGAGCGGAGCGAAGGGTCGAGGGTCGAACGCTCGGTGGAGGCGAAGGAGGGGGTGTCCGTCAAAGGGGTGCCACTGGTGGGAGAACCACAAGAAGTTATTGGAGACCCCGAACGGAAGGTGCTGGTGTCAATTGTGTCAATGTGTGTGTGTGTTTTTCCTTTCAGGAACCCCAAGGTGAGTGAAGGGCGCTGAAACGTGGTGCCAAAAGAATGTTGACTGGGAGCTACATAGTTGGGTTTCAGAGTCCATTCCAGAGATTGAATTTGCAAACTGCTTATATGTGGAGGTTTGGACAAAAGCACAAAAGTGGCTCCACGGACTATGGTGACCATGAAAGCAAGGAGCCAACACACTTCACCAAAACAGCGGAACTCGGACCAACTGCACATCCCAACGTCTTCGGCTAAGACGAACATGCTTGGACTGCACTTCTGCCTTGAACCACGCTGTGTTCGGAAACGTGAACAAAGTGGGTCAAACCCTGCATCCTGTTCATCTAGCCAACACAAGAATAGTTTGTGACTGGATGTTCATCCCCGGCAAAGCATTGGCCAAGAAGTTTCGTGCCCTGCAGCTAGGTTGCTCACACCAGTAGTTCTTTTACAGTAATACTACTGCATAGTGCTGCTAATTATCGACATACCGTATATCATGACCATGTGTGGCCCGACGGCGCCGTGGCGATGCAACATGTCATTCCGAACGATCCTGCCATCGGATCCACAGAGGCCCGCGGAGTGCCACATCCCGTGTCTTCCCAAGCGGCACTGTGGCACATGCAGGCCAACGGTTTGGCGCAGTGGGTTTGTGTGGCACCTGGGAACAAGGGCACAACACTCCTTGTGGTAGCGAGCTACCCGGCTGGTGCTTCGGGGCATGGTGCTGCGACCGTTCTTGGTGCCAGGATGTGCCCAAAAGTACATGATTCATTGAGCACAGCCCAAATCTCTCTGCCCTTGGTGTAAGTGTCCGGCCCAACTTGTTTCGGTCTTGGGGGTTACACACTCTTGTCTTGCATTGTTCATCCCAAATCTTGCCTCGTTTGCTCTAAAGGCCGAGACACTTCCCCCGCTGTCCGTGCGTTCTTCGTGTCTAAGGCGTTAGACACGTCATTCTTGACCGGCCCGGACCGGTCCGATCGGGTCTCTCCGGCCTTTCTTCATGCCGCCTTCCGACTTCAAGCCGTAGGTTCGGGTCGTGGAGCAAGAGGCCTGCTGTGGTTCGATCGCAATCTGAAGAGGCCGCTCCATGGGCCATGGGGCCAGTGCAAAAACATCGGAGACATGCAACATCGTGCACCTGCCTATTGCATGGAACCATGATGAAACATGCATTTCCATGTTTCTCGCGTAGTAAGACCCTCCAATCTCACTTTCTGAACAAAAATGTAAAGTAGATCATGGCTAGATCATGGCTGCCACCCAAAGTGCAAAGTAGATCTGTTCATGACCTCTTCGCTTTCTTCAGGATCGCTTGCCGGTTGCCCGCCACAAGCATCGGTCAAAGCATGTCAAAGCGAAGTATCCACCACAGCTGTTTCATGGGCTTCCTAAGTGCTCCAAATGATTCATTCAAAGAATTACATAATATACCGTATATCATTGATTATCATTGCAACCCGTTCCTTTGGAAGGAAGATCAGGAAGTCTTTCCCTCCCTTCATCCAGCCACGGCCCGTCGGAACCCGTCCCGTGCTTCGGCTCCTTGGCGCGCAACTTCTTCCGCGCAGCGCCCGTCTGGACGGTGCAGCTCGTGGCGTCGTCGTCCACGAAGACGCCATCGCCCCAGTCCCACTGGGCACAGCGACCGGCGGTTCCGCACCGGTCTAGACCGGCGCATGAACCCGGGGACTCCGGAGATCGGAAAGAGCCCATGCACATGGGGCCGGCAGGGTTGCATTCTTTGCTTTTTGTTGACCATTTGATTCGTTCCGAGTCCAATTAATCTCTGAACCCGCACTCTCACAAGGAGCCCTTTGACAATGAACGGCCCCAAGCCATTCTGCATCGCTGCGAAACCCTTCCGGTCGTGGACTCTCATCAAATAACCTTCACGACTGGCAGTCCGGATTGTATTCATCCAAGTGGCATTTTGATTTCTGAGAATCTCACAGTTCTTCAGCCACATACCTGGCCGTTCACAGCAGGAAGAAGGGAGCTGGGTCTGCCCGTTCACGCACCAGCTCTTGGGACATGGTCCAATCTCCCAAAAACAAAGAACCCACGAAGCACAATCATCAGAATTGAAGAAGAACAAATCTCACAACCCTGGTTCTCAACCTCCGAAAGTTTCTCCACTTGTCACCCCAAGTTCTTCGAACTGATCAACCATCCGTCTACCCCCAAAAAAATGCTCCGAACAGCTGGGGAAAAGACACCCCACCCTGCAAGAGAAAAAACCGCGCCTTTCGGGCACGTGGCGGTGGCTCGACGGTCGTCTTTGGCTTGGGACCAGCCGCTGGTGACCGTGTGCTCGCTCTGGGCGCGACGCGGCGCGGAGTGCGGCAGGGCGAGCGACGCGGATGCGGTCGGTTTTCTATGCCAATTGCAATGGGTCTATATGCACCTCCTGCCAAACTCAGACTGCCGAACAACGGGTCCTTTGGATGCAACTCTGTTCATTCTCGTTTTGAAACCGTAACCTGCCCCATGAATCAAAGACTTTTTGTCTCAAGCCATTCTTTGGATCTCCTTATCTTTGTTCAACATTGCTGCTTACATACTATTTATCCTGATGAACCCTGCTTTAGAACAAAAGCACAACAGCAGGAGCCCTCACAGTGTCCAACCTGCCTTACATTCGCTGCCCACAAGGGCTGTGCCCTCGTGGCACGAAGCGCAGTGTGCATGGCCCTTAGCAATCAGGGCGTATGACGTGCACATACGGATGCGTTTGATGCCACTGGGTCGTAGAGGAGAATAGCAGGGTCTGTTAGGCTCTACATGTTTATAGATATATATATATATGTATATTAAACATTATATAAATATGAAGAAACTTGCTTCAAGTACCATGCCATTCTGCGACGTAGTAGATTTTGCACCGTGTTCCTGACGCCACGCCCAAGGAGGGCCCCGTGACCCTCCGAGCCTTCTGCTCGGATTGCTTCGCACAGCTCTTGCACACATCCGTGTTGCAGTTGTAGGGCTGGCGATCGGACCCGCGATCGATCGGACACAACAGCCAACACCACCCGTGTTGGGGAGAAAACACCGTCTCACCGGTGTCCGACATGATTTCTCCTGATGGTGTCGATTGGAACATCTGGTTCTTACCACGGTGGCCGTGTTGGGGGCGTTCTGGGGTCTGTTGGGACGCACCCTTCACCTACAGGTGCTTGATTTCTTCCTTCATGGACCCACCAGACCGATTCTGCAGGTCACCAGCCCTGCTTCGCCCTGCTTCGTTCGGGGCATCCATTTCGAGCGGAGCCGTTGTTGGGCGGGCAACGGCTGGGGCAAACAACATGGCAAATACTGCCTGGTGGTTGGCCCTAAAGCAACAATGACTGGGCATCTTCTCTCCCCACCACCCACCTGCCTTACACTCACCGTCCTCCAGGAAGTAACCACTGTTGCAGGTGGCGCACTGGTCGTCTCTCTGGGCAACGGGGGCACAGCTGTCCACCACCGGTGGACACCGGTCGACACGACGGGCTGGAATCCACGAAGCGGTGAAGAGAAGAGCCACTACCTCAACTGAAGGGAATACAGAGAGGCCCACGATTGCCAGGCCAAAAGATTGCCCTTGTGATCACACACAAAAAAAACAGCTGCCGACGATGTTTACCAACAAAAGCCCGGCAGCAGTCACCTGGCACCGCACGTCAGGGCTACGGCTACTGTCATTTTAAGTGCCAGCCAGGAAAAATCGACCAAACCCATCCAAATCAACTCCCCAATCGAGTCCCAGTGGATCTTGCAAGCCGGTCAGCCGGGTACACTGGGATGCGAACGTGCGCCAGGAGAGGGACGTCTCAGCAAGTCTCAGCCATCATGGCACTTAAATAACCTCCACCAAAAGATCTTGGTTGGAGCGTTTGGGCTGGAATCCTGGTCGAGGGCCAGAATCAAAGGTCCAACACCTGTACCGTAGCAGGACCGTCCCTCCAACCATCCTCTTCCAGGGGAGAAGTCCACTTTCATGATTCTTGCTGGGAGGCTGACCCAGTTGCTTTCGCCGGACATTGTTTCACCTCAAAGCTGCCGCACGGTTTCCCCATCCCTCCATCGCCTGGCGCTTGGACACCTCCACGCAGCTCTTGCATTTGGAGCCGCCGCCCGTGTTGCATGCGTAGGCCTCCCCGGTCCCCAACATGAATCAATCTGAAAATCGGCCGGCTAGACCCATGGGTGTTGCGAGGTCCAACGAATTTTGCGGAGGTATCATCCATGTGATTGTCACTGGTGTTTTCAAGGTCTGCATTGTTTGCATGATCCAATGCTATCTCTGAAGATTCTGAAGAGAAGCTTGAAATGGCATTAGTATTAGCAATGGAATGTACTAGTACTAGATATAATAGATGAAAATATATTAACAAGGCACACCCACCCCAAGCTCGGGACATCTATATACATGGGCCCCACACACCCCCAGCCCCGCTTGCTACGCCTTGCACTGATCCCCAACCAGAGTGTGGCCGCTGTCGCAGCTGGCGCACTGGTTGTCTTTCTGGGCGAGGCGGTCGGCGGTCGGCGGCGTGTCTTGCTGCCCAAAGGTGTTGAAGTTGACTGAAGCATGGGACCTAATGACACCGATTGGGACTTTATGAGACCTGGAGAGGGTGCCAAGGCTGATGACTTTGCAAATGTTGTAAGCCACAACATGTCCATCCCAAATCAACCCATCAGCACTGGGCAACTAAGAGGATCCATCATGTAGCATCAATCACCCATGGGCAAGGAGGGCGGCCGCATGATTCCTCATGATTTGGGAAAAATCGCCTATGAACTTGTCCCCACGGGGCACCCCATGCCATCCAGACATCTGTTCTGTTCAAAACATCGATCCTAAGCAAAAGACAAGGCGGCGGCGACCAATGGTTTTCAAAAGGAAGATAAAAGCTAACAAACTAACTGGAACTGTCAAGATAAAGCGATCTTAGCCAACGTAACCTCGGCACCTTTGCCGGAGCGAGCGCCTCCCAGGATCCTTCCGAAGACTCTGGCGAGCCCTCCGACTCTTTCCGACTCACGGTCCATGGAAGTAGAAAATGCCCTTGGGGAAAGGCTACTGTCCTTTACAAACAGGCGGGTTGTCCACTGCCGAACGTGAGTGGGAGCGTACTTGTTTGACCAGGCAGTTGGAGGCCATCGCTATTAGGTTGGAGGCGCGTCAGTCTCCATTCTCCATGGGTTTAAGAACTGTACTCCCAGCGGGCCCTGCTCCCCATCCAGTTCTTAGGTTCCGGGCTTTGCGGAAGTTCTGCGCCACGCAGGTCGCACAGGGAGAGTTGCAGGCGTAGGCCTGCAGAACCACGGCCATTCATTAAGCATGCATACATTCCAGCAGGTCGACATGCGGAAGAACATGATACATGAAGATTACATAGCAAAAACAACGATGAAAAGACTGGGTCTGACGGTTTGGATGGGTTTTTTGTGTCTGACTTGAAGTGGTGTAGGAGCTTGTGCATCCACAATCGAACAGAGACAAGCAAGATCAAAACCACGTTTGGGACTGTTCAACCTACCAAAAGTTTAGAGTTTAGAGCTGCACTGATGTTATTTTTCTCTCTCCTACCTCTCCGTGGAACATCTTCATCAAGTGTTTGCACCTTTAAATATAGCTCTCACTTTTGCTTTACCCCACCAGTGGGCGCCAAGTTGGGAAATGTCACCGGAGTCGGGTTTGGGGCTCCAGAACTGCAATTCTCCATATCTACCTCCCACCATAGAACTATAGACGATCAACGAATGACGCCCTCAAGGGGTCGCTCCAAAGGGTCGCTCCCGCCGACCCACGAGTTCGGACGGGTAAGGCTCTCATCTCCCGTGCCTGGCAACCGGTGCCTGAGATATAGTAGCCCGGATTGCAGCTGTCGCAATGATGATCCGCCTCTCCAGGTGCTGAGAGTTCTATTGGCATCTCTCTGCCGAACACACGGTGTCCAAAGTCGGATTCGGTACGTTTGCTGGGCACGTCATGTTGATATCATGATGCGCTAATATTGCATATCAGATCACATGAGAGAATCCATCCAATACAGAGTTTGTCTACTCTTCAGCACCTGCTGCAGTCCAGACCTTTCTTGAAGCCAAAAGTCTTCCACCGCGGTCGTCTTCGAAAAAAAGATCAGTGACACTGTCTACCAAACGAAAAACCCAACAAGTAGATTGGTGTGGTGACTGAGGCCTGCAACGGGTGTTTTTTTCCGAATGATTCCTGGACACCCTGTTCCGGATCCCATCGTCCCAGGCGACCGATCGCTCGTGGTCGGTCCTTCTTCTTCGCTCGTGTGCGGGGGTGCCGGTGTCCAGCTCGTCCAAACGTCCACCCGCGCCAGCGAAACGGCTCCCACGCACCCCACGCGCCCCACGCCTTGCGGTCGCGGATGTCCTTGCAGCTGCGGCATTTGCTGCCGGAACCCGTGGAGCAGGGCGCGATCTGGCCGCGAGGGCGCGAGCGGCGTCGCCATCGATGGTGGGCGAGATGGCTCGAAACTCTTGTGAACACGGTCCTGTTCTTCAGGTTTAAAACAAAGGATAAGACTCGCAGAGGAAAAAGGTTTCAATGTTATGAAGTGAATTATTCCAAAAATGGAAATGCGTAACCAAGCATGCGCGTGCTGGGGATTCAGAAATGCCTTTATCGATCTTCTTGGAAGCTATGATGTGAAGATGACCAAAAAGAGAAGAAAACCCTGTGTACCGTGCACGTTTATGTTGTGAAGAAGCTCGTTTGGGTGCAAGATTTCTCCACATTTGATCAGAGCAGGAATTCCTTGCAATGCAGAGGCACAAGCTCGGGTGGGCAGACTAATAATATGATTCGTCAACTTTGGAGTATCACCTTCCCATCTTGTTTTGCAAACTTGCCTGATTCAGGCAATCTTTTTGGACTAACATGATTCATCACGAGGTACTTCCAGGACTTGGGGATGTGGTTCCGTCTTATCAGTGACTGCTAAGCTGCTATAGCAAAACCAGACTTTTTGAAACCTTGTTTTGAGACCAGAAACAAATGATTGCACCGACAGCCCTACACTTGGCTTCAATCTTTATCATTCTTTATCTATACGGCCGCGAATTTCACCCACCGCCTCGCAAATGGCATTCACTTGCTTCTTGCTTTTGCTGGAGCCTGGAGCGGGAGAGTTTGCTTGAGACAGCCGGAGAGTTTGCTTTAGTGTGCCCGAACTTTGAGAGAATGTCTTTCGAAAAAGGGTGAATGGGAGGAACGTGAAGGAACCTGAAGATATGCTAGCTTGAACGTTTGATGCTTGCATCAAGAAAAAGCGGCCATCGTCCTCTTGGCCCGCGTTTCATCATGTGTCATCAAAGAAACCCGTCGCTTCCTCGTGACCTGTCCGCCACCGTGCGCAGACACCGCGTCCGAACTCTCTGCGCAGACCCCTCAGGGGACCGATGCGCCCGCGCGCTTCGAATGCCACCGAGCCACGTTGGCAGGTGCCACCAGAGGGGCTGAAGACTGCTTGCTTCTTATCACCTGCCCCCGGCGGTGGTGGAAGCGCCACATTTAGGACGTCGGCTTGGCACGGCAGTCGCAGTGGACGCAGGACATGTGGTGTGAGCCCTGCAACGTCCCGGAGACGATTCCTTGAGAAGTGGTTGGAAGTTCCCTTCAGTTTTCAGGAAAGCCCAAAATTCTGTTGAATTTGCATGAATTTGCATGTTTTGTTCAGGTCAGTTGCCCATATTCGTCTCATACTGATGAAATGATTCATTTGCAATCACCAACAAAAGCATGATGATGGAGCCACAGTGTTGCAAGGCAAGCAGGACAAACTGCTGTGTTGGTTTGGGCTTGCTTGCTTTACGTCCGCATTGAGCCTGGCTGCTCAGCTGATCGTCAGCGATTCGTCCAAGTCCATCTTTTGGAAGTGACAAGGGACCGGACAGATGTAGAAAACCATGTATTAATACGTACACCTAGTTGATGTATGTTGATGTTTCTCGTTTTAGCCCGTGGTCCTGCCTCCTTATTTAATTAAGTAGGCACCTACTTAATTAAGTAAGGAGGCAAGCTACTAGCAATAGGAAGCTCCTAGCTAGGACGCAGGAATGCTCACGCTTCTTCAAGGAAGCTCCACCCCGCCCTAATGATTTGGTTCCTAGATGTTTAGGGACATGTATATAACTCTCGACCTATATGTTCCTATGGTTTATGCTGATACCTGGTGGTAGGTAGCTGAGCAGCTCGGTGGTAAGTTTCATCCACTCTCCAGTCGCCCAGCCAGTCATACCACCAGTTACTAGTGTGCGTTTTTCGTGTGACATGTACAAATGCTTCCAAGTCACAATTCCTTCTAACTTCCCAGTGCTCAGTTGCAGGACAAATGCAGAACACATCCGACAAAAAAGAAGCTGCCAGAACGACCCAAGCAAGGAAACTCACTGGAGAAGTAGCGAGAAGCTGGGAGTCCTCTTGAGATCTCTTTCTTTTGTGACTAGACTACACCATCCTCTCTCTATAATTATAGATTTATAATGATTTATATATATATATACATGGCACCTGGACATGGTGACTCGAAGCCGGGTCTCCACACAGAATCAAACTTGGTGATGCACGGGACAAGTTCTTCAATTGCTCAATCCGACACAGTCAACAACACACATCTGCAGAAGATTTGCTTCTCCTCTCATTCAGATAAGCCTTAACTTAACTTGGGAGCAATGGACCTGCAGCACCTCCTGTGCACCCTTCCCTCGAACGAACTCAAGCATGGATAGACAAGCACAGCTATCAGATTACCATGTCAGCACTTTGTTGTGGTAATGTAGACAATGGATCTGGACATGAGCGTAACAGTCCACATGACTTTTCATAAAAGTCATGGGGCAGTCACTAATTAGTCCCCATGTGCTCCAAGCGGCTGTGTGACACATGCAAGAGATGGGTTTTGGGCAGTCCGTCTGCCGCTTGCCTGCGCCGGCATGCTCTACCCACTCTTCGTACTGGTGGCTGTACCGGTGGACCGGACCCACACATCCGGTCCGTTTGGCCGGTGACAGAGAGAGTGATGACCGATGTGAAGGGGTGTTGCACCAAAACAGATCTGGTACATGGACCAACCTGGTCTGATAAGTCCGTTAGTCCAAAAAAAGAGACTTGCGTTCGACATGCAGTGACCGGTCTGATGGATTTTTCGCCAGCTCTCAATTTGTTCTTTCACGGATCTCTGTTGAAGACATTGGATCTATTGTCTAGATCAGTGCTAGACTTTTCACTATTTTCTATGGTCTAGAGTCTAGCCTAGTTTGATCAAAGTCCAAATGTGTTCGAGTGCTTCACGAATTCTTCAGCTCGAAGCTCCAGAAATCACGCCCCGGCGAAGAAGAGAACGGACGAACCCTTGAAGCTGGCCTCCCTTCATACCGCCAGCAGAATGCATGCCGTACGTCTGGGTGGTGGAGCAAGTGGCCTGGATCCGGTCCGGTCGCATTGAAAGCAATTCGGACCTTGGCGAGTACCCCCCCCAATAGACCTACAGCAGCATCCTACCGGCCATGTCCTCGAATAGAATTCGCTCGAACATGCGAATACGTGTGAATCTCTCCTCTGACCGCAGTGCCGAAGCCAAAGCCTGCAGTCGTTCCTGACCTCGATGATTTATGTCATGTAGACAATTCGTGTTCCTTGATCTCTTTCCAAATCTTCCTGTTCGAAGCTGTCGACGCCCCAGCCATCCCCCCATCCACAGACTTCGCCACCGAGTCCACTAAGACTTCGGCACTCCCAAGAAAGTGCGCCGACAATGCCGAAAACGGCCCCCTCCTTGGCTTTCAGCTTCTGTTTCGCCGCGCCAGTTTGAACGGTGCATTTCTTGGCATCTTCATCCACAAAGGCGCCATCACCCCAGTCCCACTCAGCGGAGATGGCAGTCGGGACGGCAGGATCAAAGGCATGGAATGGGGCCTGATTTATGGTGGGTTCGACTGAAATTGTTTCTCTTGGGTGAATACACCTGGGTATGACAGCTCAGTGCTTCTCTTCCTGGCAGCTCAGCTCCACTTCTCACTGGGTATGACTTTGGGGTTGAACGCATCGAAAGGAAACCTCCGCGGGCCAACCCAACACCCAACACCACTTTCGGCTGCCCGCGGCGCCGCGCGGAACGGCTCCGCCCAGGTGGAGCCAAGGGGCATTCTGCGTCCTCTCGATCTCACACTTCTTCAACCACATGCCTGGTGAACGTGTGGCGGAGGAGGCGTCAACAGGCTACGTTGCAGTCAGGTACGTTGACATACCTGAGAAGGAGGAAACGAAAGCCAGGAACAACTGTCTGCATGTGAGGTGTATAGGAAATTGACAAGCAAGTCTGAGTAGAATGTAGTGTCGAAAAAGAGCAGGTTGCTGATCCCAGAAACACCTTGCATCTCCTGCATCTCATCCAAAGTAAAACACCAGCAACAGTAGTCAAAGGAAGTTTAGTGTGCAAAACTTCCATGTTACGGACATTCAACAGCTGTTCAACCACCACTCATCATACACCACTCATCATACACCACTCATCATACACCAC